TATATTCAAAGTTACATGTTTTAAACTCTTCTTTTTCTTCTGCCACGTTTTTCCTGGTTTCCAAAGAGAGGGCGGACCCAGGAAGCTGTTCGGGAACACGATTGGTCCAAAGCTGCGATGGTCCGCCTTTAGTCCCGCCCCCGCCCGGAACGTGTGGCTGTGATTGGTGGAATCCAGAGCTAATCACGGTTACTATGGACTTTGGCTTCCCTGGTATCCAGGCTAGCTTCCTGTTAGCTCCCTGTTAGCTTCCTGATAGCTCCCTGTTAGCTCCCTGTTAGCTCCCTGTTAGCTTCCTGATAGCTCCCTGTTAGCTTCCTGTTAGCTCCCTGTTAGCTCCCTGTTAGCTCGTCAGTGTGTCGCTGCACCGGAGGAATTCACGAAGAAATGGCGCAGAGGAAGACTCCCCGGAGTCACAGCAGAAAAGGTCGGTTACGCTCTTTTCTTTCCTGCGTGTTTCTGTGTTCCACGTCTCCTTCAGTCCGTCTGCGCATGAGTGGTTAATCTAAATAACACTTTAATAGCTCAGTCCTGAAGATTCCTCCATCTTTTCTCCAAGCTGAGTTCCGTCTGAAGCAGCTGCTCAGCCCCGGTTCCCCCGGTCCTCTGCCGGGAGGAGTGGGTCCTGCTGGGCGTCTACCAGCTCTGCTCACCGGCACTCAAACTGAAAAACCGGCTGAAATACACCTAGTGTGTTTATTTCACACGGGCCGAACTGAAGAGCTGGTTCTTACTGTTCACACGAGTCTTCTTATTACTGTGTCACCAGCTCATTCTCCTGCCTCCAAGTGAATTCATATCGAACCGGCAGAATTGAACCGGAGTCTGGTTGGACGTTCAGGGCCAGTTTAGCTACAGATGAATTCAAGATGAATAAAATGATGAAATGTAAAAACAGAGATTCTCTGTGGTACCATGGAACCCTGGGAACGATGCTAAGCTAAACTAGCTTACACCACAGTTAAATCCTGATAAATGCATTAAATATACATGAGTGTGAACTTTAACTCGTTTCTCAGCCTTGTTTCATGTGATGACGTCTTTTTTCCTTCTCTCCATCATGTGCATGTATGAATCTGCCTCATGTCATCATGTCTTCTTCTTCTTCTTGTTCCTGTTGTTTGTGTTCGTGATGCTGTCATCTTGTTTTCATCAGTGTCAGTGACTTTGCCCTCGATTCTAAGAATAAAGTTCTGATCATCATTATAGAGACTCATGTTCTCGTCTGTGGCTGACTGGAGCTCTGTGACCTCATTGTGTATTGGTACTTCCACTGTATCTTCATGAAGTGACGCTCCCTCCTCGTTTACACCTGGAGTCAGATTCATGTTGAGAAAATGGAAACCTGATCTCAGCTGGAACAACAGTCGTTTGACATCTACACCATCACACGAGGGTTTTCTGTGAAACCAGGTGTTTATGTCATAAAGGACCATGTGTCTAGAAATGAGTTAACCTCAGTGATTTGAATCTGAGCTCTGTGTGTGTTGTCACTGCACTGACCTATTTGCACAAATGCAAATAAAAGCAAGTGAGTGTCGTGCTTGGGACAGAGATGTGTTCTTCTTATTCACTGTGTACAACACACCGAGGCAGATCCATGATGTCACTGAGCGTCTTCAAGCTTCAGACGACAGCTTCTCATGTCAGCAAAGTTTGCTTTGTCTAGTCCTTATTCCATAGTGACTTCCTGTACTGATCTAGTTATTTACTGACTCATGTTCCACCTTTACCAGCTGCTACGATACAGTGAGGAATTCATTCAGGAATAAGTCTAATCCTATAATATAATATAATCTGAAACCTTCTGTCCAGCAGCTCGTCTGACACGCCCCCTAATGAAGCAGGTGAAGTGAGAACATTTCCGACACTCGCTGGAAGATGTTGACCGACCACAACAGAGTGGAGCAGCTGACCAATCAGTGCAGACTTTAACATGACAGCATGAAAACAGTTTAACACTCGTTAAAATGAGAAGATGTGTCCTTCAGCACAGGGACAAAAGACTCGAGTGGAACATGAAGGATTCATGTCACGGGGCCTTGACGTCACTTTTACAATGTACAACAAACTCCAGACGTTGTCATGAGCTCCCGTTCACTCTCTGTTTAAAACTTGTTCCTTCATTGTTTAATATTTTACTGGTTCAATTATTCAGCCATAGTGACAATGATCATTAGTTACAGCCTGAGTGACATCACAGCTGAGAGAGAGACTGTGTGTGTGTGTGTGTATCTCTGTGTGTGCATCTGTGTGTGTGTGTGTGTGTGTGTGTGTGTGTGTGTGTCAAGGTTATTTGGTGGATTCTTCTGTCCTCTCTGGCATCTGTCTCACACACACACACACACACACACACACACACACTGCGTCCCTGGGTTTGTCAGCTCTAATAATAGTGAGGATCGGGTTCTGGACGATCAGTCGACTGCAGCTCGTCACAATAACTGGAGGAGGAGGAGCTCTTTCCTTCTCTCCCCTCCGTCACTCACTCTGTGGTTCACTGCTGGTCTGTCTGGTTGATCAGTGACCGGTGCTTCACTCGAACTTTTTAAACTTGTGATAGTTTCCTCACAGTCCTCAGTAATATTGTCAAGACGTTTTAAAAACTTCTTTCTGTCCGACATTTGAATTCGTTCATCAGCAGCTGAGAGGATTTGTCTGCAGTTGCTTTGCTCGCTCCTGTTTTTGGGTTCAGCTGAGACCCGAGGACGTTCATGCAGCGTTACCGCCAATATGGCGCCTCCTACTCCTCCCCCTCTGCTCCTGTAGAGGAGGCCGAGGCCCAGGAGGAGGAGGAGGAGGAGGAGGATGAGTATGCTGAAGAGGAGGTGTGTGAGGAGGAGGAGCCGCTGGTAGAGGAGGGGGTGCAGGACGTGGTCCAGGGCACAGGTAGGGGAGGTGTATGAACAAGTGTTGACCTGGTTTGGCTCGGTTTGGGTTTGGTTCTTATGTGGCCTGGTTTGGATCGGTTAGGAGGCGTTAATGAGGAGGAGGTCCCACAGAGGAAAGAGGAGGTGACACCGCCTGTCTCTGAGACAGGTAAGAAAGGATGATCAGCTTGTTCTGGTCTGGTTTGTTCTGGTCTGGTCTGGTCTGGTCTGGCCTGGTTAGTGTGTGTGTTTGTGAGTAAAGCTCAGTGATGTGTTGCTGGACTCTGCTGGGTTTTGGTTTGTTGTGTGTTTTCGTCGCCTGCTGTGTCACTGTGACCTTGTGTGCTGCACGTTGTCTGTGTTAAAACTTCCTGTCCCTGATTTCCACAATAAAAGCCTCCAGTAAGGAGAGTTATGTGGCTATAGCTGGTTTAGATTTGCTCGATGTGGTTTCTGATTGTCTGATTGTTTATACGGTTTGTGAATCAACTGACGTGAATTATGTGAAATAAAAAGACACAAGGAGTCGTCATGAAGGTGATGTCTGAGGAAGAATGAACAGGTTCCCTTTTTTAAACAGGAACACTAAGATAGTCCACTTAGAAGGAGTAGTCACAGACTAACCCTCTCATTTACTTTTGTATTTCTTCATTCTAAAATTGAACTTTCGGGAGATGCAGTTCATTTCTTTCCCTCAGTGTTCATGTCTACGAAGAATCGATCAATCAAATAGATCGTCACAAGGTGCGACATCCTCTGTTCGCAATCTTCCACTTGGGGTCAATCAAATCTACTAAAACCAAGAACCTTTCAAACTCAGTCTTTGTACTGATATTTGAACCAGGAGAGTTTCAGGCCCAACGAAGTCTGTGAAATAATAAATGGGACTTGTCTTCTCTTTATTTTATTTTTGGAATGTTCTAAATTTTTATCTAAATCATTTGCAACTTCAAACAAAACTGATGAGACGTATCTCTATCCTCAGAGGCTAAGGTTCCACCAGTGGAGAGCAAGAATGGAAAGAGGACAGAGGGAGGAGGAGACGCAGGAGGAGGAGGAGGTCCTAAATACTCCATGTTCACCTGGTTTGTGGTCCTGGCTCTGCTTGGAGTGTGGAGCTCTGTGGCCGTGGTCTACTTCGACATCGTGGACTACGACAGTGTGATCGGTGAGTAAGGAATCCTCAACGTGGCGCTAATACTCGTCGTACCTTTGTTTGTTTACGATCAGCTGTTCTTTATCTCTGGCAGAAACATTACTGCTTCAGGTTACTGTGATAGAACCACCTGTTTAAGCTGATCCTTCAAAGTAAAAGCCTCCTAAAGGTACCTTCTTGAAAACCTTTAGTGTGAAGACTCAGATTGAGAAGATAAGTTAACTCATTGTAGAAGTTTTAAATAAACAAAGGTGACAATTCAACCTTGTGTCTTCCTCCCTCCTTCTCTTCCTCTTTTCTCTGCGTGCAGCCAGAGCTAAGGACTTTCACATGAACTTTTCTCAAGTTTTACAAGGTACGCCGTCAAGATTTAAACCTGCAGCAAAAGGTTCCATCATTAAACACCGTGAATCCATCCGAGTGGAGGTTGTGCTCTCTCACACTTCTGTAATGAAAGGACGAGTGAGAGAGTTGAAGTCACTGAACTGAAAACAGTCGGATCTGGTTGCTTCCTTTTTCATGCCTCTTTCTGCTTTAATCAGCGGCTAAAGTGAAGTTACACTGGTGCCACTAGTTTCATGTGTTTATCGTTCAAGAGTCTGAAGACAATGAAGAAAGATGTTTGCTGCTTCTGACGTTGTGGTTTTTGTCTAAACAGGAAACCAAACACAAAAACATCTTCACCTGCTAGACTTAAATGATTTCACTGAACTTGGACAAAACCTTTTTACTATTTCAGGAGAAACTCTCACCTGTTGTCAGAGGAAAGTATTTTTAACAATATGCCAATAAAACAGCTTGTTGTTTGTTAATTTCCCAATCTTGAGACAGTAAAGGGATTCTGATTCTGATTCTGGTTTGAACATGAGGTTAGAGACACAGAGACAGAAGCAGTTGGTCGACGTCAGTCTGATGCTCCAGACATCACGGCCGTCCACCACATCCTTCCTCATTGTGCAGTGTCACTGTTTTAATGCACTGTGACATCCTGCTGCCTCTACGAGTATGAAACCTCTGAGTCTTGCTGTTGTTTGATTATTGGTGGGATTTGAACTCACAATAACAGAAATAAGTCTTAAAGTTGCAGGTGTGAACATCAGATCTCTTCTGTGCAGAACTTGTGTTTATACACTGGAACATTTTTCATTCCATGTTTCTGGTGTTATTTAGTTTTTCTCATCTGTTCTCTCTCTAAATAATAGTAATAACAGTAAAAGTAAAACTCATTAAATTCAAAGAATCCTCCTTCCTGCCACTGTAAAACATATTTGCTCACATTCACATTAAACATCTCAGTTTCCCTGAACTTGTTTGTATTTTAATAACGACCAGAGAACAGGATATATAATATATAACATATATTAGTGTTACTCAGACTTCCTCCTCTTCCTCCTCAGGTAAACTCAAGGCCTACGACACAGACGGAGACGGAGACTTTGACGTGGAAGATGCTAAAGTTCTGCTCGGCAAGTTCTCTTAACTTCTCCTGTTTGCTGTCTGTCGTTTTCTCTGTGAAAAGCCTGAATCATGTGTTTTACACGTGTGTCCCAGTGTCTCAGTATTAAACTCGAACTCTGACTGAACGTCCTCAGAGTCAAACCACTCATCTCTCTCACATTTGGATTTGTTTAAAGTTTGTCTCACAAAACTAAGAGATTAACTTTGTTTTTCCTTTTTATAAGATTATAATAATAACCTCAAACCAAAGTCTCTCTCACACAATCTTTTCTTCTCATTTCTCTGCGTTCCCAGTTCATATGGAGCTCAGTGGTGGATTCATGTCCAGCTTAAAAACTGTAACTGAATTTTGATGAGACAATATCTTGTGTGGGGACACGTTGGAGTAGAATTCACAATGAAGGAAAGAAAGGATGAAATGTGGAAGGAAACTGTGTCGGGGACGTCAGGCTTCGTTTGACCTGCAAGTTAAAGATGGCTGCCTCGTTCCTTGTTGTTTTCTCTATCAGACAGGAAGTCTGAGGTCGCCTGACGAGACTGAGACAGGAAGTTAAAGCTGATTTAATGTCCGTGGTTCTTCGACTTTAACTCACTCTCTTTCTCTTTGTCCCGTATCGTCATCCTTTATTTTTCGTTTTGTTTTTTCTCCACTCCTTTCCTTATTTCCGTCCTTCCTTCCATCCTTCCTTGGTTCTTTCTTTTTCTATATATCCTCGTTCAACCCTCCCTCTGTTTGTGCTTCACCATCATTTCATCTCCACTTCCTCCCCCATCCTATGTCTATTTTTCTCCTGCCCTCCTTCTCTCTCTCCCTCTCTCTTTCGTCAGGCCTGACCAAAGATGGCGGTGCTAGTGCGAATGCTGAGTCGCTTGAGGAGGTTCTTGATATTTTAGCTGAGGAGGGCTCTGATTGGATCTATGGTTTCTTCACCTTCCTCTATGACGTAGTGTCTTCGCCTGTAGAGCGGGGTGAGGAGGGGAAGGAGGCGGCGACTGAGAAGCGGGAGGAGGGCGGGACCACCTCCTCTGATGATGAGGAGGTCAAAGGGGTCATACTGGACCTCCAGAACCAATAGGAGGACACAAGTCAGAGCCACAGCCAATAGCAAGGCTCTTGGTCCCAATACTGACCAATGAGGACGAGGCTGGGACGCACTGCGGCGCAGTGTGTTGAAGGACGACGTGTTGTGGTGCAGACGACCTGAGGTTTCCTCTGAAGGAACAAACCGGGTCTGGACTCGTTCAGTCCTTTAAGGACTGAAAGGAATTAAAACACTTCAACTATTGATTAGCACTTTATTGATTGATTAGCTCAGTGATATAGTTTCGGCTTGTGTCGGTTGTTCATGTTCAGTAACTGACGTCCATGTGTTCGTGGCCAGTGTGACCGAAATGCAAACGTTTATTCTGTTCACATTTTTGTTTGTGAAATTCATGAACCATGAACGTGATTTCACATATCTGAGCTAAAAGCTGCAGTAAAAAGTTTTCATGTGACTGGACATCGATAATCATTACAATCCATGTGACGTATTAAAGGCGGAGCTTTGAAACCAGACCTGTGGGTTTAACTGAAGTTTGAAAATCTAACTTTTACTATTTTTATCCAGAGTGACTGAACTTTCTCATCTGTTTGTAATTCATTTCTGTTCACACAAACTAAACATAAAAGTAATCATATGGAACATTTATCAACCTTTTATTTTTAAAGACAAAAATACTGCAATAAGTAATAATTAATAATAAGAATAATCTCCCAGCCCTGTTCAGGTTTATTAACTACAGTATTTCATATTTTAAAACAAAGGTTGTGTGGACGACGTTTGAAGAAGCTTCGTGTTGATAGGTTTAGTTTCACGTTGTAATTTAGGGAGTAAAGAATTTCTCTCATACGTACGTCCTGTTGTTGGGTTATTGTTTTCACTCACTACTTCGATTCTCCGTACCTGAACTTTCTTTTACTTCACATCAGTAATTTGCTTGAACTTATAAACGTAACATTTTGTGTGTGAGATGACGTCGTCTGTTGTTGTGTTATTTTAATGTGTCAACTATCGGCTTTAAAATAAGATCAGTGACTGAAACGGTTCAGGATGGATGGATAATATCATTCTGTGTTAAATTACTATGTGACTTATTGCAACATTAAATTAAAAAGGAGGAAGCTTTAGTTTGATAAGAATGTAAAATAAGTAAAGTGAGTGAATGTGTGTTTTAACAGTCTTGGCTTGAGCTCATCTCATTTGTTAGAACATCACCATGAAGCTCAGTGAGCGTCTTTCCTGCCTTTTACCTCATTTACAGATTTTCACTCGGAGCTGCCCGTGGCTCCTCCCAGCAGGTTTTCACGACACATAACAAATCCACGTTGCTCTGGTGTCTTGGAGACTAATCACGTAAAGTAAAGACTGAAACTAATCTTTGGGAATGTTACCGTGATACCTGCAGCCGCTTTATCTCTACCTGCTTTTCATCAGCTGCTTGTTTCTGTTGGTTCAGATGAGAGGGAATTGAAAGGCCCCGTTCTCAGGAGACACAGACTGAGAAGAGGTATCGTACACTGAGCGTGTGTTTGTTGTGAATTCTGATTGGTCAGCTGACAGATGTGTTTCTCTAAAACCTGCAGAGGACAAGAAAGACGTGAAGAAGAAAGGTAAAAGTCTTGTGTCCCTGCATGACTTGTTTGATGCTGAGTGACTGACTGAGGAGAGGAAGATCCTAGTATCAGGTGTGAACTGATGAAGCTGTGCACGTGTGATGAAGCTGTGCACGTGTGATCGGAGCAGCAGAGACAGGTGTGTGTTGACCTCTGACCCCACATGTGATGGAGGTCGTCTACATGTCGCCCCCCGGTGGCTGTCTCCAGCATGTCATACACCGTGCCTCTTCCATGTTAACAGATGGGACATGGACCACCTTTAAAAATATCTTGAGATTATACTGAGATATAATAACTACATTTCTGACCGTCCATCTTTATTTGGTCTTGTTGTGGGATGAGCGTGTGCGATGTTTTCCTGACTCTTGTTTAGTGTTTGGTTTGTCTGGTGTGATGCTTAGAGCTCTGTCGTTAGCGTGTTGACTTCTCCTCCGGGACCGAACTGTGTGTGTGTCGCCCTAGAAGAGAAGAACATGGGAGCTGCCACTCAAAAGATGAAACCCTCAGAAGGTAGAGTTGTGATGCTGTTGTTAGTTTGAACATGAATCCTTTCTTATCTGTTGTCAGGAGTTTGTTTTTACTGACAGAGTGATGGAATTATATTTAATATGTTGAATAAGCAGCGCGGCCTCTTGTTCGTGGACGCTGTGGTGGGGACATGAATCTGTTTGTGCCTCTTGTGTTAAAACAGAAGCGCTGACGTCTGCTGGAAAGAACGTAACGCGAGGTATTAAAATAATAATAAAATGTCTGCATGTTCAAAACAAAGCGTTTTTACTTTGGTCTGATTCAGGTGCATTTTGTGGACGACCACAAGAAAGTTATTATAGTTTTAACTAATTAACATCAACATCGGCATTAATACTTTTTCACTGGCTAATTTCTATATAAATACATGAACTAACGGATGACATACATGTAATGGCTTTAAGCTGTGTCTTACTGTATTTGTATGAAATGGTTTGAAATGGTTGTTGCTGCCTTGCTGAGCTCTCATCATTCATTTTACTAAACATTTTAAAACTAGAGGAACAGGAGAAAATAAAATGGTAAACCATTCATCGTTAAATATTCATCCAAATCCAATCAAAGCTTTACTGCAGCACTGGATCGTGATTGGGCCAAATTAATCATGTGACATTTGGAAAACAATAGCAACCAGTGCAATGTGAAATATTTTCCAGCGTGGACGGACGCTCGGACGCGGCAAACCTCCATAATGTTTATACAGAGAACAAAAAGGTCCTGCTAACAAACACAGTGATGGATTCTGGTTCTGACCTCTTTGACCTCTAACTATTAACCTTCGACCACAAGATGTGAGATTCTGATCTGAACGGTAGAATCTGCATTCCAGTATTTGCAGTGTTGTGACTGGCTGCATCTTTAACACTGATCTCTTGTTGTGCGTCAGCTGCAGCAACGAGTCTGCATTTAAAATCTGACCTTTAACCTCAAACCTCAGACCGTCCTGTCCGAGGGCTCAGGCTGCGCTCGGCTCTGAAGGATGAGCTGAGGATGATCCACGAGAAGATGGAGGTCAAGAGAATCGCTCGCATCGCACTGGCTGAGATCAGGGCCTTCCTCGCCGAAGAGGAGGAGGAGAAGGAGGCGATCTGGGCATCGAAGATGAAGATGCTGGAGGCTGCTCAGGAACAACTGAGAGAGGAGAGGAGGAGGGAGGCAGAGAGAGTAGAGAAAGAAGAAAAGGAAAGGATGGAGAAGGAGAAGGTGGAGAAGGAGAGGATTGAAAAGGAGAGGATTGAAAAGGAGAGGATTGAAAAGGAGAGGATGGAAAAGGAGAGGATTGAAAAGGAGAGGATTGAAAAGGAGAGGATGGAAAAGGAGAGGATTGAAAAGGAGAGGATGGAGAAGGAAAGGATTGAAAAGGAGAGGATGGAGAAGGAGAGGATTGAAAAGGCAAAGGCTGAACAGGAAAGGATGGAAAAGGAGAAAGCAGAGAAGGAAAGGAAGGAGAAGGAGAAAGCGGAAAAGGAGAGGATGGAAAGGGAGAAGGTAGAGAAGGAAAGGATAGAGAAAGCTGAGAAGGAGAAGGTAGAGAAGGAAAGGATGGAGAAAGCTGAGAAGGAGAAGGTAGAGAAGGAAAGGATGGAGAAAGCTGAGAAGGAGAAGGTAGAGAAGGAAAGGATAGAGAAAGCTGAGAGGGAGAAAGCGGAGAAGGAGAGGGTGGAAAGAGAAGCCAAAGAAAAGGCTGAAAGGGAGAGGCTGGCACGAGAAAGGGCAGAAAAAGAGAGACAAGAAATGGAGAAAAGAGAAAAGGCGGCCAGAGAAGAGAGGGAACGACTGGAGCATCAGAAGATTGAAAGGGAAAGGATGGAGAGAGAGCGACTGGTCAGGGAACGAGAGAGGGAAGCCAAGGAGAAGGAACGACTGGAAAGAGAAAGATTGGCAAGGGAGAAGGCTGAAAAGGAGAGGATAGAGAGGGAGCGCATCGCCAAAGAAAGAGAGAGAATAGCCAAGGAGAAGGAGAGGATGGAGAGAGAGAAGGTGGAGAAAGAACGACTGGAGAAAGAGACTCTTGAAAAACAGCGGATCGCTAAAGAGAAAGCGGAAAAAGAACGACTGGAGAGGGAACGCATCGCTAAGGAAAGAGAGAGGATTGCAAAGGAGAGGATGGAGAGAGAGAAGGCAGAAAAGGAGAGGCAGGAGAAAGAACGAGTGGCTAAAGAGAAAATGGAGAAAGAGAGACTGGAACGAGAACGCATCACAAAGGAAAGAGAGAAAATCGCCAAGGAACGAGAAATGGCAGAAAAAGAAAGACTGACCAGAGAGAAGGAAAAGATGGAGAGAGTGACGAGAGAGAAGGAAGAGAGGGAACAGATGGAGAGAGAGCGCATTGCCAGGGAAAGAGCAAGAATCGCTCAGGAGAAGGAGAGATCAGAGAAAGAAAGATTAGAGAAGGTGAGAGCGCAAAAAGAGAGGGCTGCTAAAGAAGAGAGGGAGAGAGCGGAGAAAGAGCGTCTGGAGAAGGAAAGGATAGAACGAGAAAGACTCAAGAAGGAGAGACTGGAGAAAGAGAAATCGGCGAGGGAACAGTGGGAGCGACAGAAGGCTGAAAAGGAGAGAGCGGTTCGAGAGAGGGAACTGATGGAGAGGCAGAAGCTCGCCAGAGAAAAAGCTCTGCGGGAGAAGATGGAGGAGGAGAAAGCAAACCGGGAACGAACCGGACAAGAAGTTCAGGGGAGGAGACGGAACAGTTCACATCTCAAAGCTGCAACAGCCGAGGAGAAAACCGAGAGAGCGAGTGTGTCCGCGGTCAGACGAGACGACAAGACGAGGGGCAGATGAAGGGCTGCGATTGGCTGGAAGTGAAAGTTATAAATAGTTTTTTATTTCTGAGCCGATGAATCAGATTAAAGAAGAATTTTAAAGTCGTCAACTGTTTTGTTTCATCTCTATTTGAACCTTTTGTCCCGTGTCACTGATGGGTGTGGTTAATCAGAACTGTGCTTTAACTCCTCCCACCTGTGAGGTCACAGCGTACCAACCCCTCGTTGTTTGGGGGCGACAGCTTCATGATGTCATCGGTGAAATCGACTCTGAAATAGTTTTGTGTTCAGGCGGAAATGAAATCTTTCCTTTATCATGTGTTCCATCATCTCCAGTAACGTCTACAGTCACACAGAGAATCCATGTCTGAGCAGGGACTTTGTGAACTTCCACGTTTTAGAGGTTTCACTTCTGTTAAACTGCACAAAATCACTCATAAATCATAAATCCTCTCAGTACAGGTTCGTCTGGTTGGTGAATTATTTGCACAAACAAATAAACAGGATTGTACATAAGGTATTGAAGTGTCAACAGTTTATATCCACTGCAGAACAGCATGGAGACATTTTAAAAGTCTCAGAGAAAGAGTGAGAACCTTTCCTCCTCCTCCTCCTCCTCCTCCTCCTCTTCCTCCTCTTCCTCTTCCTTCCTCTGTTCAGTCCTTCGCTCTTCACCACAGTTTCCTCCTCTGTTCACTCTGACGCTCGGGACTCTGGACTTATTTCCTGCCAACAAAATACTATCAGGCAGCTGTAACTCCCGACTGTTTGAGGATGTAAATAAATGTTTATCACTGAGGCACTGTTCCACTTTTCTTCAGCTTTTATGTCTTTTTTGTTCTTTTGACCAAAACAAAGACTCAGACTCAGACTCCGTCCGCTTCACTTCAATAATAGCTCAAAGAAACATATTTGTTCTCCAAGCAAACTTCAGGCATTAGATTCCTGAAGGTTCAGTCACAGTCAGTCCTCATGATCTGTTCTGAACTGGCTGTGAAAACAATTTAATAAAGTTTTACACAGGTTAAAGAGGACGAGGATGATGATGAGGAAGAGGAGGCGACCCGTTTTACTTTGTCTGATTTTTACTCTTGAACTTTTAAACCAATGAACAGGACTGAGAGAGGCAGAAAAACCAAATGTGGGAGATTCACCAGAGAAGAAAACAGGTGAGGACACACACGCACACACACACACACACACACACACACACACACACACACACACACACACACACACACACACACACACACACACACACACACACAC